TTTTTTTGGTTAATCCTCTCCTAAAGGTATTTTTCCATTGATCTTTAGATAGAAATAGAGTGGAAGGGAAGGAGAGAGAGAGAGCAAAACATCAATGAGAAAAAGACACATCTATTGGTTGCCTCCTGCACAACCCTGACTAGGGCAGGGAATCAAACCTGCAACCCAGGTACATAACCTTGACTGGAAATTAAATATGTGACACTTTGGCGCACAGGCTGATGCTTTAACTGCTGAGCCAAACCAGCCATGGCATTTTCCGGATTTTAAGGGAAACACTTTTAGTTTTTGCCCATTGAGTATGATGTTGGCTGTGGGTTTGTCATATATGACCTTTATTATGTTGAGGTATATTCCTTTTATTCCCACTTTGCTGAGGGTGTTTATCATATATGTGTGCTGGATTTTATCAAATGCATTTTCTGCATTTATTGATATGATCACGTGATTTTACCTTTATTTTGTTTATGTGGTGCATTACATTTATTGATTTGCGAATATTGTGTCATCTGTGCATCCCCCTAATAAATCCCATTTGATCATGGTATATAATTATTTAATATATTGCTGGATCAGATTTGCTAATATTGTGTTGAAGATTCCTTTATCTATGTTTATCAGGGACATTGGCTCATAATTTTCTTTCTCTGTAGTGTCTTTATCTTGTTTGGAATCGGGATAATGCTGGCCTCATAAAATAAGTGTGGGAGTCTTCCTCCTCTTACATTTTTTAGAATAGCTTGAGAAGGATAGGTGTTTGTTCTTCTTTGAATATTTGGTAAAATTATCCAGTGAAGTTATCCTGTCTAGGACTTTGTTGGGAATTTTTTTATTACTGCTTCAATTTCATTAGTTGTAATCTGTCTTTTTAGATTTTTCTGATTCTTCCTGATTCAGTTTTGGGAGATTGTATATGTTTCTAGGAATTTTTCCATTTTGTCCATATTGTCTAATTTGTTGGCATATAGTTGTTCATAATATTTTTTTACAACCCTTTGTATATTTTTGGTGTTAGTTGTTACTTTTCCTATTTCATTTCTGATTTTATGTATTTGGGTACTCTCTCTTTTTTTCTTGATGAGTCTGGTTAAAGGTTTGTCAATCTTGTTTATCTTTTCAAAGAACCAGCCCTTGGTTTCATTGATCTTTTGTATTGTCTTTATTAGACTCTATTTCTTTTATTTTTGCTCTGATCTTTATTATTTCCTTTCTTCTACTCACTCTGGGCTTTGTTTGTTGTTCTTTCTCTAGTTCAAGTGTAAAGTAAAATTGTTTATGGGAGATTTTTATTGTTTCTTGAGGTAGGCCTGAAATGCTATGAATTTCCCTCTTAGGATTGCTTTGCTGTGCCTCATAGATTTTGGGTTGCTGTGTTCCCATTTTCTTTTCTTTTTTTTTTTAAATCCTTACTTGAGGACATTTTTCCATCCTTTTTCAAATAGAGTGGGAGGGAGAGAGAGAGAGAAAAACATCAACATAAAAGGGACACATCAAGTGGCTGCCTCTCACACCACCCCAACCAAAGCCAGGGACAAATCATAACCGATGTACGTGCCCTTGACCGGATCGAACCCATGACTCACTGGTCCACGGGCTGATGCGCCAACTGCTGAGGATAGGTTAAGGAACCTTTTTTTAAAACTCTATATCTGGTAAATTGCTTGTTTCCATTTTAGTTAGCTCTTTTCCTGGAGATTTCTCCTTTTCTTTCATGTGGGACATGTTTCTTTGTCATCCTATTTTGGCTGTCTCTTTGTGTTTGTTTCTATGTATTATGTAGATCTACTATGACTCCTAGAGCCTTATATAATAGATGACCTGTGGGACCCAGTCCTGCAGTGTCCTTAATCACTTGAGCTGAGTGTTCCAGGAATATCCCTTGTGTGAATTCTGTGAGCCCTCCTGTTAAAACTGAATCTTGATTGCTATTGGCCTGTTCATGCATGGGGTCCACCCTCAGGCTTGCTTACTGCAAATATAAACCAAGCTGCTGTACAGGTGCTGACCACACTAAGCAGAATTCGCCTCAGTAGGGTCTGCTACCTCCCAAGATCTCCTTTTGGACATGCCATTTGTGAAGCTAATTGGATCCTGCTCTAAAGTCTGAAGCTGGCTACAGGGTGTGTTGGTTATAGGGCCTCTTGGGAGGGAAACTGGTGCAGGCCAATATCAGACACTGCTTGTGAGTGGTCCTGAGTAACCTATTTGGAGCTACAAAGTGACCCACAGTTTGTGGCTGCCTCTGCTGGGCCAGGGTGTGTGCAGGAAGGACCAAGCTGCATGCCAAGGCCGACTTTTATAAACACTGTGTCAGGGGTAGGTCAGCAAAAGTCCCAAGATACCCTGAGTTCCACCTGCTCCTGCCTTTGCTCGTTGGCTGCCTGTTAGGCTCAGTCACTGAAAGAGCCTCTGGCTATACTCGAGTTGCATGAGGTAGGTTCTCAGTGAGTTACCAGCTAGGGACGAGTGGTGTTTACCAGAATGATGCAGGTTCAAACTTGATGCTAGTGCTCGGTCTGAGGCCACTCAGCTAATGTCCAGGGTATACTAGGTCTAGCTGCCGCCAGTGGGTGCTCATATACCTTTGTGATGGGGTGGGGTCTCAGGGAGTCATCAGGGTGAGGTCAGCAGAGTTTATCAGGTTCAAACAAGCCAAGATTGGCTGTGTGAAGGGAGGGCTGCACCAGTCAGATATACGAGGGAAAAATGGCCCTTGGCCTGGAGCCACATGACTCAATCTGTCCCAGATTCTACCAGGAGCCTGATCTCAGCAAGGTGGGGCCACTGAAAGTCAGAAGAATGGGGCTAGTGGATCTCCCATGAGGGGAGACACCAATCAGGTTCATGGGAAAGTGGGGGGATTGGCCCCCACCCTAAATCCACACAAGCCTAAATCCACACAACTCAGTCACTGACACCCCGAGTGTCAGTGCCCAGACCTCTACACTCCTGCCCAGCTAGCTGACTCCTCAGATGGGTGTGAGCTCTGCAGGGTGGGGCGACAGGGCACCCAGAGGGTGGGGTTATTGCATTCCCCCAGGCTGATGCCATATGGGAGTGTTCCACCCAAGAAAGATGCCATCTGCAGTGTGGAACAGTGACTCAGTACAGGGATCCTGGTGTCTGTCCCTTCAGCTCTTCCCCAGAGCCACAAATCCCATCTCTCCTCATACGACTCCAGTCTTCTCCACTCTCCCTCCGGTGGAGCACAGAATAAGTGGCTGTGAACAAGATTTTGTGTGTTGGTCCTTTAAGAATTCACCTGTGTCTCTCACAGACTCCAGTCTCTCCCTGGAGGACAGAATCCCTGTTGAATTTCATAGCCAGATGTTACGTGGGCACCTCTTCCCGGCTCTGGTGCTCTGGGCAGGGAGCCCAGTTTGGGGTTGAGAACCCACACTTCTCAGTGGAACCTTTGTAGCTGAGACATCCCTCTGAGACGTTAGACACTGTGCACGTGGGCCAGCCATCAGCCCTTTTCGAGTTTCTGCCCTTTCTACTAGTCTCGATGTGGCTTCTTCTCTAAATCTTTGGTTATAAGACTGTTCAGCTAGTCCTCAGATGGTTATTCAGGTTATTTGTTCTGTATTTTAGTTATAATTCCAGTTTCATTCTGAGAGGAGGTAAGTGTAACATCTACCTACTCTGCACCATCTTGGATCCTCAGAACATTGTCAAATCTTAAGGCAGTGTCATTGTTCAGGGACTGTAGTCAAATGTACTCATGTTCATACCTGGATCTACTGCTTACTAGCCATGTGATCATCAGTCTATTACTTTTTTCAGTCTATGCCTTTGTTTCTTTGTCTGTAAAATGGGGGTGAAATGGGAATGCCTCAAAAGGTTGTTGTGAAGAGTAAAAGAGACATTTCAGAGCACAGTGCACAGCCGCTGGCACATAAAAATCACACAGTACAAGTAGTTCAACCAAGAAATCTGGGCAGCAGACTAGAGGTAATAGGACTCAAAGGGGGCGCAGAATCAGTGGTCACCATGCTAATCCTTGGTGTTCCATTACTTTTGCAGAGTCCCTGGACATTGAAAGCCTTTTAACTTAGGTCATCCAGAACCCTCCCGAACCCTCTGTCTCTTGGTACAGACACTCTGAGTGTTAGGGACCTCACTTGGTTAAGGGGATGGTTGATCTCTTTGAGACAGAACATGGATACATCAGTGTTCATGTCTGAATACAGGTGTAATCTTTCAAAATTGTATAGGTAACAGAAACGGCAAGATCAGAATATAAACTCCGTCTCTGTTATTTCCTGTGTATCTTCAGCCCAATCACTTAGCCTCTCTATGACTTAGCTTCCTCATTTCTCAGTTGATGATAATACATATTTGCAGGCAACAAGGCACATAAGGCCATCGAACAGGTAGTGCCAGGTATTCTCCTGCCACAGTTGAGGCCATCAGACAATGGTTTACTTACAGGGGAGTTTTACTAGAATGAGTTATAAGATTCATCATCCAAACTTTGAAATGAGGTTTGGGTCACCCTCTTTATCTTTATCAGAATTGAACTGAAGACTTGCATAACAGCTTATATAAGCCACACATTTGGATTTACTTAACATCACATATTCAGTGAAAGGTTCTTTTAAGTATCTGACAATGCTCTTCGGTTTGGAAGTTCCATCCCTAACCATAAATGACCCAATCTAAGAATTAAGGTCCCACCTATCCAGTTAATTGAATTGAAACACTTCTCTGCCAGGACATCAAACTGTAGTTATTTGGGAAGGGGGATAATGGACCTACCCTCTTGGTCCTGCCTCCTAGAATCTTATCCCCATCCACTCTCCTTGACACTTCTCCCAACACACACACACACACACACACACACACATACATTTGCACACCACCTCATTAGGGATCCCACCTCGCAAATGCTCAGTAAGTCTAATATTTTGTCTGTTTTTACCCATAATTGTGGTCTTTAAAAAGAGATACAATGATATTTTATGGGTGTTTGATATGGATTCTCTTGCCTTTTCCAGGGAAAACAGAAGCCTATTTGGAAGCCATCAGAAAAAATATTGAATGGTTGAAGAAACACAACACAAAAGGAAATAAAGAAGGTAAGGCTTTAGTGTGGTTATAAATTGCAAACTTCACCCATGTGTCGGGCGCTCTTATTAAATAAACATCGCCACAATCAAATTAAGCTAAAGTCTCCTCTCAGAGCCCAGAAAGATTCTAGCGCTTCTCAGATGCAGAAGGGAACCTCCATTTCTCTTATTTTTCAAGCCAGTCATTTTAAAGAAAGGAATTTCCCCCCTTCTTTGACATTTGATGATGAAAAGATATCAGACAAAAATAGAGAGAATAGTATAATGAATCCCCATGTGTCCATCACCCATCTATAATAATTATCATCATTTTGCCAATCTTGTTTTGTCTACCCCCACCCTTTCTTGGAGTATTTTAAACAGAGGCATTTTCTGAGCACTTACCAGGTGCACTCGGCAGTCTCGCTCACTCACCTAATGCACGGCACTAAGTGGGCTCTATTCTGAGTGCCAGAAATGTGCAGCGCAGTCAAATGCAGCACAACCCCTCACACACACCCCACCCCACCCCTGCCAAGTCGCTCACAGCATCAGTAAACCCTGCTTAGCCCTGCTTGGTGCTGTCACAGATGGGCGTGGGGCACAACGGGGAAAGAGGAGAGGACACACCTTAGAGACAGAGGTTACTGGGAGGAAGGGCCGTCCGAAAGCCTTCACTGGAAAGGGAAGAGAGGAGAGATGGAGGCAGAGGGAACACTGGGTGCCAAGACATAAAGGGGCAAAAACGAGTGATGCATTCTGGGAACTGGAGCGATTCAGTTTTCCAAGAACACTGGAGGTCAGTGGGGCTGGGAAGGTGGTCAGTCCAGCAATAGGCTTGTGCACCCTGCAAAGGAGGTTTATTTTAATCAGAGAGTCTAAATTAGGGCTTACTTAAGCTCTCAGAATTCAGTTAAGAACTGAGAAATCTATCTGGCATGTAGTGTGGTTATAGATTGAAAAAATAAGATCCCAGAAGGCTGGAGAGAAATAGGAAGCAAGGATTTAGAGCAGAAATGATGGGGCTTAAACCAGGGTAAGGCAGAGAAAATGAAGAAGGAAGAAATTTGAGAACCAGGAATCCAGTATGATCCCCAGGTGTCTGGACAGAGCAGTTACAAAGTGATGTTTTGATTGATTGATTGATTTTAGAGAGAGAGGAAGGGAGAGAGAGATAGAAACATCAATGAGAGAACATCGATTTGCCACCTCCTGCATACCCCCCACTGGGGATTGGGCCCACAACCTGAGCATGTTGCCCTGACTGGGAATCAAACCGGTGACCTCTTGGTGCATGGGTCGACACTCAACCTCTGAGCTGCCCGACTGGGCGCAAAGTGATGCTTTTAAAATGAGCTGAGCACTAAGAAGCACACCTATTAAAAAATATATAGGGCTTTTGGTTAAAAAATAAATAAATAATCAGTTGTTTTGCATTTGTTACCACATAGACTTTCCCTACCACTCTGCTGGCTGGAAATATGAGTAACTCACTTGAAAAGCTTCATTCATTCAGAACAAACAGTGGACGTGTACTTCCAGTTCCTTGAAATTGATATAAAAATTTGAATTAAACTATTCTTTACAAAAAAATAAAATGAGATGAGCAGTGCTTCTCAAACCTTCAAGTGCATTCAAAACACACGCAGAGCTTCTACATACCCGGATGCCCAGGGGCACCAGTACATCAGAAACTCGAGGGGCAGGACCTAGGCATCGATATGTTTTAAACTCCCCATCTTTTCACCATTTGAGAACTGCAGAGATAGAGCACAGTAGGAGGAAGATGTATTTTCATCCCCCTTTATCCTGTGGTATTGTAAGTTGAGCAAGATGGAAACAATTATCAGGTCTTCACACATACTCATTTTATTGGCTCAACATAATGTGAATTTCCAAGCTGTCCATTCCATTAAAGTTCTTACGAACTGTATTTCATCAAATCTGTTATTGATTAGAAAAAGTCACCATTGTTTGATGCACTACTAAGGAAGAAAAAGTATAACATGCCAACAATTGCTGCAAAGACTTGGAAAAAAATTATCTTAAAATCAGTGTTAAAACAGTAGGGACCAAAATGCATTCCGAAACCAATATAAATTATGTGGTCCAACAATTTAGACAATTTATGTTATTTCTTTCACTGATTAACATATGACTCAAACTCCTGATCGTAACCAGCAACATCCTGCAATTCCGTCTTTCACTTCAAGAAACAACCAGCCTAGGAAAGCATGGAACTCTGGTGCTTGCATATCAAAGGATCCGGGAGCAAACTTAGAATGACAGGGCTGAGTTTGATGTTCCCTCTGCCTCCGGAAAGTGAGGGTGACATGCAGTACACCCTCCTGAAGCCAGAAGCAGAGAGCTTTTCCTCTCCTGCCTTCAGATATGCTCAGCTAGACAGGTCATCTCTCAAAGCCGTGCGGATGGAGACCCTGTGGCCACGGAGTGGCTGCAGCTGTGTGAGCGGGAATTCTCGCTGCAGCATTAGCTCTGACTTCCTGAACGTCCGGATGCATTTGTCTGGGGGAACTGAATCTCCTTCCCAAACCCAGGAGAGAAAGGTCCATGTGATATGACAATGAGGATGATGATAAAATCTTATGCAGCCATTGTGTTAAATGTGTACTTTTAAAAAAGTAAATCACAGCACTGTCTCTTGTGCCTAAAAACTTTAAAGCCACTTTTAGGATGAGGAAGGTGGAGAGTGACTTGTGTACTCTCCCAGCCTGCTAACGGCCTTTCCTCTGCCCCAGGCTGGATTTCCTGGCACGTGGTGGGAGCTATATCATAAAGATACAGTTTTTTCCGCTTCAAAAGAGCACAGTATTTTCCCATTTGTCCGTTCAAATCACCTGGACCTCCTCACATCCGTCCTTGGGAGTGTGCCTTTTGTCCCACGGAAGATGTTGACCCTGCAACCAAGTCTGAAGAGCATTAATGTGAATCGATGAGTCAGCCAGGAAGCAGCCAATGAGACAAAATGTACATCAGCTTGGTTCTCTATTTCATGCCTGAGAGAAACGGAAAGTCAAACAGCAACAAAAAACCCAAAGTACTTATTGAACGTTTGTTCTGCACCAATTAGATGCTTCCTGTTCACTGTTTAGAGGCCGCAGAGTGGTCAAAGCAGTGACTACAGACCGACCTGGGTTCGGAACCTGATGCTACCAGGACCTGAGCACAGGACTTACCTCCTCGGTCCTGCTTCTTCTCTCTGAAATGGAAATACTAATGCTAACCTCATGGAGTTTTGCGGAGAGCACATAAGATTGTAAAGCGCTCGGTGCCCAGAGTTATCTCTTTAATCCTCAAGGCTGTGCCCTAGTGGGGAGCAGATGCCCTCCCTGGTGAAAACAAGCTCTCTCTAAGCCTCAGTTCACCTTGATATGATAAATACCACGTGCCTGTAGAGGGGTCCTTCAGGCTTCGTTTTTTGTTGTTGTTGTTTTTTGTTTGTTTAATTTTTTTTTTCTTTATTGATTTTAGAGAGAAAGAGGAAGGGAGAGGCAGAGAGAGATAGAAACATTAATGAGAGAGAACATCGATTAGCCGCCTCCTGCATGCCCCCCACTGGGGATTTGGCCCACAACCTGGGCATGTGTCCTAACCAGGAATTGAACTGGCGACCTCTTGGTGCATGGGTCAATGCTCAACCACTGAGCCACACCGGCCAGCCTTGTTTTTTGTTTTAAGCAGGGTCTGAGAGATGCCCAAGGGACCCAAGCTAGCTAAAGAGGCCATGGGATCCTGTGCGCTCTGTACCCCATGCTCCCCTTTCTCATTCCTTTACAAATGAAAGAAGGCAGGGCTCTTTGGTCCAGGAGCTGCCAGCTGCCAAGACGAATGGCACTGCCCTCAAGGAACTCAGCCTTAAGCAACTCACAGTCTGGAGGGGCCTCCCCAAGTGCTCTGTGGTATAATAGACCCACGTGCCCAGCCATGAGGCATACGTGTCATAAATGTTGATACCTCCGTAGGGTGTATTGCACATAGCCAGTAACAGTGCTGTTTATGAAGAATATTAATGCTCACTGTGTAAAGTTAACTTAAAGAGCTAGTTATAAGTTTGTATGTACACTGCGATCTCAGTTCTGGGTTGAGATAGATATATTTAATAAGCTAAAAGGAAATAGAACAAACATCAACTGTGGTTATCTATGATTAATAGAACTCAGGTGATTTAAATTTTATTTTCATGTTTCTGGATGGTTTCTTTAAAATAAAAGCATATAATACTTAAAGAATCAAGGGAAGATGTGGGTTTCTTTTTAAGCCTTCAGAAGGATTTCATAGGTAGCCTCTTTACTGAAGGATCTCTTTATTTTTGGTGGGTGATTTGATGATTTACATAGGCTTTTGTTTGTTTAAGTAGCACAGAGAACTCCTCTCTCTCTTTCTCCCTCCCTCTCTCCCCCTCACTCTATCTTGAAAAACATTTTTTATGAAAAACCCTCAGGTGAGGATTAACAAAGTAAAAGTAAATAAAATTAAAAATCAAATGAAGTATCTATTCCCAGATAAGAAAAAGCTAAAGGAATTCATCACCACTAACCTTGTATTTCAAGAAATGTTAACGGGGCTTCCTGAAGAAGAAAGAAAAAGATAAAATATATGAATAATAAAATGACAATACCTACATGCCTATCAATAATTACTTAAAATCTAAATGGATTAAATGCTCTAATCAAAAGACACAGGGTGGCTGAATGGAGAAGAAAGCAAGACAAGAGACCCTCTTCAGACTGAAAGACACACACACACTGCAAGTAAAGGGATGGAAAAAGATGCTTCATGCAAGTGGAAATGGAAAGGAAGCTGGGGTAGCAATACTTATATCAGAAATACTTATATCAGATTATAAGACAAAATAGATTTTAAAGCAAGGGCTATAATAAGAGACAAAGGACATTTTATATACAATAGCCAGAATATAAAAACAACCTAAGTGTTCATCGATAGACAACTGGATAAAGAAGATGTGGTACATATATAAATATATACAATGAAATATTACTTGGTCTAAAAAAAGAATAAAATCTTATCATTTCACCAACATGGATGGATCTAGAGGGTATCTATCATGTTAAGTGAAATAGGTCAGACAGTGAATGACAAGTACAGTATGATTTCACTTATATATAGAATCTAAATAACAAAACCAAAAGAATGAACAATCAAAACAAACTCATAGATACAGAGAACAAACTGATGGTTGCCATATGGAAGGGGGTCAGGGAGCTGGTTAAAAAAGCTGAAGGAATTAAAAAGTACAAATTGGCAGTTTCAAAATAGTCACAGGAATGTAAAGTATGGCATAGGGAATATAGACAATAATGTTGTAATAACTATATATGGTGTCAGGTGGGTACTAGACTTATTAGGGGTGATCACTTCATAATGTATAGAAATGTCTAACCACTATGCTGTACACCTAAAACTAATACAATATTTAATGTCAACTGTAATTGAAAATTTTTTTTTAAAGAAGACTCAGGGGCCCCACCTTGGAGCCACTGAACGCAAAGGTGCAACTTCCTGAGAGTCCCAGCTGATTGGTATAAACAATCCAGTTTGTGAGGCCCTGGTCTCTAACCTGTTTCCTCCGAGGTCAGATGAGGCTGGTACTCCCCACCTGAACACCTAGTAGGTGTGAAGCTGGAGAACAAATGAGCTAATATAATACACATACACATGATTTTATTTTATTATTTTTTTAATCCTCACCTGAGGATATTTTTCCATTTTATCTTCAAATAGAGTAGAAGGTGAGAGGGGGAGAGAAAGAGAGAGAGAGAGTGAGAGAAACATTGATGTGAAAGAGGCATCGACTGGTTACGCACAACCTGACCAAGGCCAGGAACAAACCGCAACCGAGGTACCTGACTTTGACCAGAATCAAACCTACCACTCTTTGGTCCGAGGGCCGACACTCTAACTACTGAGCCAGACCAGCCAGGGCCATACATGTGATTTTATTTTATTTATTTATTTATTTATTTATTTTTTATCCTCACCCGAGGACATTTTTCCATTTTTTTTTTTGTTCAGGTAGAGTGGGAGGGAGAGAGAGGAACAGAGAGAGAAAGAGAAACATCGATGTGAAGGGACACATCGAGTGGCTGCCACCCACACAACCGACCAGGGCCGGGGACAAACTGCAACCGAGGTACATGCCCTTAGCGGGAACCGAACCCGGGTCTCTCAGGACCGCAGGCCGACGCTCTAACCGCTGAGCCAAACCGGCCAGGGCATATACATGTGATTTTAAACTACACATCTCTGCACAAATGCCAAGACCTAAAGTGCCTTTCGATGTGAAAGACGGGGATGGTTGTGAGGGTGCCAAAGCACTTGGTTAATGGTAATCACTGTAAGGGGATTGCTCTTTCCTGACCTTTCTCATGATGCCCTAATGATGTTTTCCAGATTATGACCTTTCAAAGATGAGGGACTTCATCAACCAGCAGACAGATGCTTATGTGGAGAAAGGCATCCTTGATCGAGAAGAAGCCGATGCCATCAAGCGTATTTACAGCAGCCTGTGAACAAGGCAAAACGGTCCAGGAGTCTTTACGCTGTTTCGGAAAACATAATATCGCTTCAAACTCTTCTAATTCTGTGATTAAAGTTCTTTTGACCCGAGGATTATTAGAAAGTGCTGGGTTTACAGCAGTTAACCTTTTAGAAGTGGTTAAAATATAGCTTTCTTGCCATAAAACTATCTGAAAAGTAAAGTTGTATGTACGCTGAGATTTTGTATATAGAATCCTTATTTCCTTATAGACTTACATTTTATAATCAGAGATAGGTTGCTCTGGAAAAGCCTGTAATGAACTGACCTTAATACTGAAACTTGGCCCCGCTGTGTCACACCTGTAAGCAGCCCCTGGAGACCCGGGGCTCTGTTTCCAAGGCATGCTGGTTCCCAAAGCACTCACAGCATACATGTCACGGGATGTCCTTTCCACCAGTTCCCTTTGGGTTGAAATAAATTCACCTTTCCTCAAAGCCTTGACAGCCAGAAGGAGGCTATCTGCTCTTTTTTCCTAAAGCTGTTTTTGCTGGTTCTATATCAGACTCAATGGCACAAAAAGGAACCTGAAAAATGGGCATAGTATTTGCTGGATTTGTTAACAATTTCCCCCCACTCTTCATATTTTCTATCAGTGAGTTTTCAGACAATGATTTTGTTTATTAAGAGGGATAACTATCCCTGGCCGGTGTGGCTCAGTGTTTGAGCATCTACCCATGCACCAAGAGGTCACTGGTTCGATTCCCGGTCAGGACACATGCCCAGGTTGTGGGCCCGTTCCCTAGTGGGAGGCATGCAGGAGGAGGCCAATTGATGTTCTCTCTCATCAATGTTTCTACCTCTCTCTCCCTCTCCCTTCCTCTCTCTCTAAAATCAATAAAGAAAAAAAGAGGGCTAACTATGGACTCTCCAAGCAGAAAATGAGGTCATAAACACTACACAGAGTAAGGTACAAATGTCTGACAGATCTGGGTGATCTGAGTTATCTAAATCCAAGCCTGGATTCCCATCAGAGAGCAAGAGGGCCAGAGAGCAGGGTAAACAGGAAGATAAAAACCATCCCCTTCCCTGAGAACCAAAGCTGCTAGATGAGCTTCTCTGGAGGAAAAGGATAAGAACAGCGAGTTCCTGCAAGCCCCTCCCTCGGCCACCACCACAAACATAGCCCTGGAAACACAATCACCTAAGGGCCTTCTGAAATGTTCATGGGGAATGTTCCCAAACCAAAGAATGCTTTGAAAATGGGTTAATCGGTATAAATTAATTATATATTTTTCTATATATTTCAGTTGAAAATCCTAAAAATAATATAATACTTTACATATTAGCGGTCACTACTTCAAATGGCTTTCTGATGCCCGTCTTAAGTGCCTCTACGTGGCATTCACTTTTTGGTGAGGACCGGGAAAACGGAAGAGGCGGAAGACCCCTGCTGCTCCTCTTGTCCTCTCTAGAGTTGCAAAAATAACAAAACCAAAGCCTGACCGGCAAAAACACTAAGCTCTTTATTTAATATAGTCTAGAAAGGCCTGTACTCTCTGGTAAGCGGTGAGAGGGAACTAAAAACACCTTTATCCAAACTGCACTTGCCAAAGCACCATGAGTCAGACTTGTTCTAATGAGTCATCTTTGATAACGTGACCCACTCACTTCACCCACGTCCTGGAGTCCAAATGGGCTGCTTCTCCATCAGGGAGGAAAGACTGGCTGTGACAACAGCTTTTTATCCGTTTGCTTTTCTCTGATTTATCTAAATATATATGCAGTATTTTTTTAAAATAAGAAATGTATTTAGTGAGTTTATTGTAACTTTCTGAGCCCACTGACATGCATTAGCTCCTTCTGATAACCAAGACAAAAGGGAGATCATCAGTCCTGTTCTATAAATAAGAAAACTGGTTCACAAAAAATAAACACATGGGCACAAGATATGCTCAAACTCACACAAGTGGTAAGGAAGTGGTGAAGCTGAAACTAGAACCCAGGTGTCTGATCTCAGCCCACTCTTCCTCCGTGACTCCACGTGCAGACAAGGACTGAACAGCTCTAGCCCATGCCCTGGCTGGTGTTGCTCTCAGTGGTTAGAGCATTGACCCGTGCACTTAGGGGTTGCAGGTTTGACTCCCGGTCAAGGACACATACCTGGGTTGCAGGTTTGATCCCCAGCCCTGGTCAGTGTGCCTGCAGGAGGCAACCAATCGATGTGTCTCTCTCACATCGATGTTTCTTTTTCCCCTCCCTCCCTCCCTCTCTTCTACTTCCTCTAAAAATCAATGTAAAAAAATTTTCTCAGTTGAGAATTAAAAGACAAAAAATGAACACTGGTCCTGGACAGTATCACTGTAGCCATGACAATTCAAAGTTTCTAATAACTTGAAAGAGGGGAGAGATGCTTCAGCTAGAAATTGCTGAGAGAGACCCATAGGCAAAAATAGAATACTCAGAAAAATGTTTTTGAGCCCAGCCGGTGTGGTTCAGTGGTTGAGCATCGACCCATGTACCAAGAGGTTGCTGGTTCAATTCCCGGTCAGGGCACATGCCCAAGTTGTGAACCCAATCCCCAGTGGGGGGCATGCAGGAGGCAGCCAGTCAATGTTCTCTCTCATCAATGTTTTTCTCTCTTTCTCTCCCTCTCTCTTCCTCTCTCTCTAAAATCAATAAAGAAAAAAAAATGTTTTTGAGATTGTGGTCTTCATTTCAATTTTCAGCATATGTTATATCTTTTGGATAGCATTTTTGGATCTGTCTTTTGGATTACTCTCAAATTTCAGATAATTTTATGTTAATCAGCATGATAACTTTGCATTTTTAAAGTTCCTGGGCCTCCGCAGAGAGCCTTTTCTTCCACACACAACTGTTTTCCTTTCTTCACTTATTTTTTCTTTTAATTTTCTCCTCTCCCAACTAACTCCCCATTGTTCAGGTACTAGGATACAAAAAAAACAGCAAAGCATGATCAAGAGATCACTCTCTAGCACAGATGATAATATCATGAGAAAAAAACAAAAGAGAAATAAAAGCGAGATATTATCATGAAAAATAAAGAGAAAAAAAATCCTACAATGGATTATGTACATTGTGAACAAACAAGGAATTCAAGACAAGGGCAGATGGCCGCCATTTCCCATCATGCCCCAGGGGGTGGACAGGTGCAGCTCTGGCTGTGTGAGCTCCGCTGCACTAACACCTGAGGGCACTTGTCTCCAGCTTGATGGAAGGAATACCTGGAGGAGCGAGATGGGGAGAAGAGAATGAGAGAGAGAAGAGGAAACAAGGTGAGAAACAAAGGTCCTTTGGGGGGATGTTGGGGAGGAATAAATATAAGGAATTTTGTGGAAGCTTAAAGATTTATTTAACCCAGCATTTGAATAGAAATTGAGAACAAAAATATTTAACTGTAAATAACATATTGCTTAAAGTTTCCCAGTGTAACCTATACATATAACAAAAGTAAGACAAATGAAATTATGTGAATAAAAACCTAACCCTTAATTCAAATGAGCACAGTGACTACAAAACACTCGATAAGGTGACTAATCAGTGAAACCTAAACAAGAATTCTTTAGTGCGTCAAGTCATGATATTGCTTTTTTCTTCTATTGGTCATATTCCATGTTTCCACTGTCTCTGAAACAAGAAAACTGAGGGGAAGACAACCCGTTGGAAAAGGTCATAAGGGAGTAGACCATCGGCCATGTTTTGCCTTCTTTCTCCTGCCTGATGCTTTATTTGGTACCCACTGGAACATTCTTGAAGAGAGGTTATGCTGGCAAACACCAGTGTTGGATGCGACTGTAGCAGGGACGGAACAATGTTGGAATGATCTGTGAACTAGATTTTGCTGAGTGGTGCAGCCTGTCATCAAATATGGACATACCAATACAGCCAACCACAAGAGGGAGCAAATATTAATGCTCACCCACCATCCAGTCAAGGGTGAGCTGGGCGGTGTGTGTCTGTGTGTCTGTGTTGAGAGTGACAGAGTTTTATATTAGGCTAAGTATAGATTGCTGTGTTAGCATTTTATAATGTAAAACTTTCATAAGAACCTCCAAAGTACTGATTAATTACAAAGTGAACCAAAGTCAATTCTGAAGACAAGAAATGACCCAGTGTCAAAGACAACGTCACTGAGCATTTACTCAGGCTTAGCAGAGAGGTGTATAAAGACCACTGAGAAATCATTGAAACTTTTTCAAAATTGCAATTAAAATAATAAAAACCGTAAAAGTAGAGGAAAAGCTGTCACTATTTTAAAAATATAACTTAAAATCCATTTTTTCTCATTTGCTAAAAAAATTGGACACTCAAATGTAAAAACATAGTTTATTTTTTCAGACTTTGGTAGTTTACTTTTACAAAATAACAGACAAAATTTGGTTCTTTATATTAATACAGAATATGTAATACATATCGAAATATATATATATAGCACTTAATTATTAAACACATAGCAAAATTGGTATCACTTAAACAGCAACCATGTTTTTCACATAATTAGGAATTCTCAAGAGATAAACATTGTTTTTAGCCTGACTATGTAAATAGTCTTTGATGCTTTATGTCAACTAGTATTTACAAAAGCATATCTAGAAACCACCACCACCTACAAAAGTGATGAGCTTCAGGATACAATTTTATCATGCCATAATGCAGACTTAAAATTATAGAAAGCCAGAGGAAACTAATCACTTCGGTGCAACTGCAGTGGGTAGAATTACTTAATTGTGATTTGAAGTTGTACACTCTGAGAATCCCAAAAGGATGCTTTTGAATCTTCAGTTGTTGGTTTCCTGATGCTCCAACCATCTCTTAGGTGGTATTATGCCCTCTGTTCACCTAACTGTGATAGAGTGAAGCTGCATAGAGATTGTTTTCATCTCTGGAAAAATAAATAAATAAATAAATAAATAAATAAATAAATAAATAAATAAATAAAATACACACACACACACACATATATCATAAACCAGTGTTTAAAAACTATTCAGAAAACTAACACATGTATTTATCATACAACTTAATATCTACTTGCCAAAGAAGTGCAGGTGTTATCAACTTATAATACTGTGCACATCAAATAGTGATTGAGGTGTACCTTACTGATTCCATTTTATTGGTGTCTCAATTATTGGAATAAAGAATAGTACTTGCTATATAGTTTTTTTCCTTTATTGATTTTAGAGAGAGAGGAAGGAAGAGGGAGAGAGAGATAGAAACAATGATGAGAGAGAACATCAATTGGCCGCCTCCTGCATGCTCTGCACTGGGGATTTGGCCCACAACTGGGCATGTGCCCTGACTGGGAATCAAACTGGCGACCTCCTGGTGCATGAGTCGATGCTCAACTACTGAGCCATACCAGCCAGACCTTGCTATATATTTATATTTATTTATATTACATTTAAATAAATAAAATTTATATTAAAGTATAATTTAATTATATTCTTATTTGTTTATATTTTTAATATTTCACCTCTTTCTCAAAAGGATTTGAGATGCCTACAACAAAGGGGATATATATATAATAAGATGAATAAAAAGAAATTTAAAATCAGGGCTAAGGAAAAGAGAATAATACAAATATATTAACCATAAAAAATATTCTAGTGGTTGAACTGAGCATCAATTTTAGTTGCAACTTTCCCGGTAGTCATGGTAAAAAGGGAAGAAGGAAACCAATTCTATAGGAGAGAGAAAGGTTTGCCCTAGTACCAAACTAAAGAACAAAGAAGAAAAGCCCTGGCCTATTTGGCTCAGCAGTTGGAGCGCTGACCTATGGTCCGGAGAGACCCAGGTTTGGTCCCCGCTAAGGGCACATACCTCGGTTGCAGTTTGTCCCCAGCCCTGGTTGGGGCGTGCTGATGGCAACCACTCGATGTGTCCCTTTCACGTCGATGTTTCTCTCTCTCTCTCCCTCCCACTCTATCTGAACAAAAAATGGAAAAATGTTCTCGGGTGAAGGGGGAAAAAAAAGAACAAAGAAGAAAACTCACATGAGATCTTAAGTAAGAAATATCTGAAAACAAACAATGGACACTGTCTTAGACAAATTTTATAAGGATCAGTATTTAACAAAGTATTCTCCAAGGCAGGTGTCAACTAGATGTCTCTACCTGGCTGCTATCCAGAATTGCTAGCTGGACAGTTATGCTACAGCAAAGAAGCAAACTTTTTATAATAAATCACAGAGAAAAAGCATTGCAACGGATAAAGCCTTACGCAGAACACAGTGACTCTGTTTAGATTTCATATATTAAAAATGCCTCTCTGGAATTAAAACATAGTGTTTTTTTTTTTTTGCAAAAAAAAAAGAAGAAGAAGAAGAAGAAAAAGAAAAGAAAATCTGACCAAGTGAAAACATCTTAAGAGAAATTTATTCAGCCTCTGACATTTTACCAGTGTATGTTTACCTGCTCTCTTCTTTTAGCTTCTGGGCTGCCTGCGTTGATAACTTAATCTGCAAGTCTAGTCTCTGCAGGAAATCTCTGGCTGACACTTCCTCCGGCGACATGGGCGGAGCAGGGGATGCGGGAGGACTGGGAGGGTCTTCCACCGCCGCAGCCGGCAGCCCTTCTTCCAGAGAACCTGCAGCAGGTTCACTTTCTGGAGAATCAATGGAGTTAAGTCCATTAAACAGCAAAGGCTTCTCTGAAATAACTGGGATGTTCAGAGTTTTCTTCAGAAATATACAATCATTGGTAAACAGTTTATTTGCCCTTTTAATCTGCTCCATCTAAAATATAAAAAAAGAAACACAGAATTACATACAAATAAATCCGGAAGCAGGGCTTATTATACAACACAGAACTAAAAACACTCATGTAATAAAATGAAAATGAAAAAGTAAAATAAAATAAAAACATTCATGAGAACAATGTGTGCATTGCTTTCTCTGGAGCTGAGATCCGTAATTTGGGTTTTATCATCTCCCCAGATACCTCTACTTATTTTGAGAGACCTCAGGAATTTCTGTATCCCAATTTAAAAAATGTAAAGACTAATCTCCCCCTACTATATTAATTGCTCTACAAGGCAGCTTTTATCAAGCAGAGTTAAATCCCTGAAGTTAAAAACTACAGAATTTTCAGCACTTAATAAATTCCTTTTTTATTTTAACATTTCTATTATCTGATTTTTAAAAATGTACAGTGCTGTTATTTTACTTCTGGTGTGTTTCCTGTGTCTCCCGAATTACTTTGGTCAACATGACGGACGCAGGAGGTGGTGCAGAGATGAGTATGAGAATTCGGAAGAAGGGAGCAGGCCAGGGCTGCAGTCATTAAGAAAGGCCTCACGGAGAAGGTGGGGTTCTGATTTTGATTCTTTTATGTTAAATGGACCTTGAATAGGCAGAAGTGGGACAGGTAAGGAGAGGAGATGGGCAGCACTTTGCATATAGCGTCTCATTTACTCTGCCTTATGGAGTAGGTTTTTGAAGCTCCAGGTGACAAATAAAAGAAACAGAGTTCACAGAGGTTATGTCCCATGGAGTCCTGATACAACTGGCAGATGAAGAAGCTACAATTTAATACAGGTTTCAATAACCTCAAACTCTTTTGTAGACCGTGGATGCTTCACCCCAAACCACAGAAGCAGAGATAGGAGCAGGGAGTGAAAGGGGGAAGGGAACTTGCATACGTTATTTAACCTCATTTAACTTTCATAATAGTTCTGCAATCTAGATATTAGCATCTCCTTTTTACAAATGAAACGAAGAGTCAAGAGAGTTAAGTGGCACGCCTGAGTCCACGATGCTGGTAGGTACGCGCAGGACTCGAACTATGCTGGTACAGAGCATGCTGGAGAAGCACCTACTCTTTTATTTTTATAACTTTTTTTTTTAATCCTCACCGGAGGACATTTTTGCATTTATCTTCGGATAGAGCGGGAGGGAGAGAGGGAGGGAGAGAGAGAGAAACATGGGTGCAAGAGAGACACATGGAGTGGTTGCCACCCATATGACCCCAACCGGGCGGGGACAAACTGCAACCAAGGTATATGCCCTTAGCGGTAACCGAACCCGAGACTCTCTGGTCCACGGGCCGATGCTCTAACCGCTGAGCCAAACCGGCCAGGGCGAAACGCCTACTCTTACATCCATCACACCATATTATAAGGTGTCTGCAGTCTAGGCCATACCACCCTGAACATGCCCGATCTCGTCTCATAAGGTGTCTGCTGACTTCTCCACCCAACTAGCCTGGGACTCACACCAGGCTCTTTATGTTCACTGAACCATCTAGTTTTCACCACAACTCTTTCTTGTGAGACATGTAACTGAGACAGTTTAGTACAATAGCTAAGTGCACAGGCCTGGGAATCGGACAGACTTGGTTTCTAATCCCAACTCCACCAACTCAAACTATATGAACATGAGCTTCTTAGCTCTCTCTTTGAGCCTGTTTCCTCTTGTGTAAAACAGGTATCACCAACTCATCACAGGCTTGTCAGAAGTATTAAATGAGAGTTTGTTTATACACATACTTGCAAAGAAGAGATAGATAGATAGATAGATAGATGATAGATAGATAGATAAATAGACAGACAGACAGATAGATAGAGACAAACAGACAGAATAGAGATAGAGACTGTTTAGCAGAGCACCTGGCAGTACATGGTACTTACTCCTCTCCATTCCAATGAAGAAACAGAGGCACACAAGAGGTAGTCACTGGACCAAGCGCATATGGTTCTTTAAATGCATGAGCCGGAATTTCCCTCTGACACTAAGGCCCACACAACACCACAATTAAAGTGCATGACTAATGAGAACAAATTACCAAGATTCTTTAACGCCAAACTGATTGAAAAAATTAGACTCTTACTTCAAAGAGCCTGAGGAATCATTAGTTAAATAAATGGATTCTGTTCCTCCTGCTTTCTTACTATAAGCTGAATCCACACTAACAGTATATTTAAATTTAGCCTTCTTTTTTTTCTTTTAAAGACATTACATTAAAAGTACCTTCTGTAGCCTGGCCGGTTTGGCTCAGTGGTCAGAGCATCGGCCTGCGGACCAGAGAGTCCTGGGTTTGGCTCCTGCTAAGGGCACGTACCTCGGTTGTGGTTTGTCTCCGGCTCTGGTGGGGTCGTGTGGGTGGCGACCAGTTGATGTGTCTCTCTCACATCGATGTTTCTCTCTGTCTCTTCCCCATCTCTCCTTCCCGCTCTATCTGAAGATAAATACAGAAATGTCCTCAGGTGAGGATTTTTAAAAAGTACCTTCTGTATAAGGTGGGTGGTCTTTTGTGCTCTACTTTTTAGTTAAAGGAGAGAAGGCAAGGGTGAGAGAGAGAGGACATGAATTGGCCAGTGCATTTTAGAGATAAAACTAAAAATCTAAAAATTCTAAGTATCTCTGGTCTAGCTGAGGCTTAGATTTGAGAGTTGAATAACTTGAATATGCATAGCAGGTTCAGGTATATTCTAATCTGCCTTTACTACCCTTTGTATTTGCATCCACCTGGCATCCACTTGGCATCCACCTCCTCCATCTCTCTTAGCACACGGGCTTCCAGTGACACTGAGCTCTCCCCTGGCTTCCAGCATGAGCATGTGACTCATTTCTGCCCTTTGGTGCCACAGTGTCCTGGCTTTCATGATGGGTCACAGTCCCATCTCAGAACAATTCAGAGATGCTGGCTCTGGGAGGGAAAAGCACTCCCCCTGCCAAACTGGAAGGAGACAGGCCAGGAGCTGCTGGCAACCACCCTTCCCACCTCCTGGAACCCGACAAGGAGGCCATGTTGGAGGACAGCAGCCAGACCCCTGCATCAACGCCTGGAGCTAGAATACCCCCGGACCTGAGTTCCATTAGCCAGTAAATGCCGTTTTGTTTTGTTTTGTTTTTTGCTTAGGCCAATTTGAGTTAGGTTTTCTGCCACTTGTAAGTGAAAGAGTCCTCATTGATACAGTGCCCTTTGAATTGCTTATTGGCAGGGACCTACCACTGCTAACAGTGGTTGTTTTGGGGAATGATTATGGAGGGCAGAAATGCCAGGAGCTGACTGCTGAGGCAGGGCTGAGAATCTGAAAACTGAATTCCTGCAGGACAAGAACCGTTATTTGTATAGCCCAGAATCTAACAAAGATCTTATACACAATAAGTGCTTAGGATGGATAGATGGGTGGGTGGATGGGTGGATGGATGGATAGATACAGGTCAGAGGAACAGACCTCAAACATGAACCCAGAGAAGTAACCAGAAAGGGGTAGTAAGTTATCTGCTGTGTTGGTTATTCTCTAAACCCATCCTGACCTCCCAATCTATCTCCCACTCTTCTTGAGCCTGTTCTGAACCCCAGGAGGCTGGCCTCTAACTGCCCTGCCCAGGCCCCCTTGTCCTTGGAATTCCAGTTGGTGTCCCAAACGAAGGCACCGGCAGAACAAGCACACCATGACTCGGGGGCGGCACCCCGGTGGCAGACTGCCTGCTGGGCAGTCCCCTGTGCATCAGCACCTGCTGCACTGCTCCTTCCCTGGCCTTCATGCCCAGCGGTGACATCTCCCTGCTGCTGTCTGTCTCAGGTGCTTCACCATCCCTTCTTGCTTCCCTTAACCCTGCTCAGACTTCTGTGAATGTCCCACTATTAAACCTCTCTGGCCATATGCTCTGAGCACAGTCTGTATCCTGCGGGGACCCTGACCGATACATAAATCTGTCATTCACAGCCAGGCAAGGGGCAATGACAGGGAGCATGAGAGAATGTGACGGAGTCCAAGGCCGGGGCTAGTCACAGAGTCCACTGGGAGTGAAGGGAAGGGCTCCCTTGGCTCTTGTGCAAGCTGCTGTACAACTGAGTCACCGACAGAACTGCCTCTTAACTAGCCCATGAGCTTCCCTAGTCGGGGACCGCACGGGCGCCACCTCAGTGCTGTCGCCAAGCACTTAAGATGCACGCTGACCTTTATATGTAGACTCCGAGATGACACACGCGATGCCAACATGGACGACATCAGGGGTTTCCAGACATAGTTGGCATCAAGGTGGGAACAATGTCAGGATGGGCACTTTGAGTGTGAAGGTGACCAAGGTACATGAGTCTAACACAGGTTGTAGTTAGAAACGCAGGCTCTGGGGCCACACTTCTTGGGTTTAAACCCTGGCTTTGCCACTTTCTAACTATTTTCTATGTCTGTTTTCCTTTCTGTAAAGTAAGGAAAATAATAGTATTTTATCTATAATATGAGGATTAGGAGAACTAAATCGTTTAACTCATGTAAAGCATTTAGAACAATGCATGCAAGGCACACAGGAAGCACTCAAAACTGTTAGCAACTATTATCATTAATTTTGGTTAAAAGTGAGAAAGCAACAGGTAAGAGCAGATCCCTAACATACATTCAGCAAATAAGAAGAAAGGAGGTAAGAATTTCTCCCAACAGAAAATATATCTGCCCTGGCCGGTTTGGCTCAGCAGTTGGAGCACTGGCCTGCAGACCAAAGAGTCTCGGGTTTGAGTCCCAGTTAAGGGCACGTACCTGGGTTACAGGTTCCAACCCCGGCCCCAGTTGGAGTCCTGCGGGAGGCAACCAGTTGATGTTTCTCTGTCTCTCTCTCTCTCCTTCTCCCTCCCTTCCACTCTGTCTAAAAACCAATAAAATATCCTTGGGTGAGGATTAAATATATATATTTAATAAATAAATATATATGTGTGTGTGTATGTGTGTGTGTATACATATATATATTTTTTTTTCTCTCCCACAAAGTAAGAAAATAATTAAAATTCTTTT